TAATATGTTTCCCCCCTTCTAGCTGCTTTTAAGATGTTTCTCTTTATTGCTGGTTTTCAGCAATTGATTAGAATGTGTCTTGGTGCGTTTTATAAATATGTGTGTTTAGCCTACCTGGGGTTTATGGAGCTTAGATCTGCAAGTTTATGGTTTTCATCAAATTTGAAAAGTTGTAGGCCATTACTTCATCAGATTTTTTTGCCATTGAGGCTCTGCGCTCATTTTCAGTCACTTTTTCCTTTCTGTGCTTTATTTTGGATAGATTCTATTGCAGTCTTCAAATTCTCTAATCTTTTTTTTTTTTGAGATGGATTTCCACTCTTGTCGCCTAGGCTGGAGTGCAGTGGCGCGATCTCAGCTCACCGCATCCTCCACCTCCTGGGTTCAAGCGGTTCTCCTGCCTCAACCTCGCAAGTAGCTGGGATTACAGGCATGCACCACCACGCCCGACTAATTTTATATTTTTAGTAGAGACAGGGTTTCTCCATGTTGGTCAGGCTGGTCTAGAACCCCTGAGCTCAGGCAACCCATCCGCGTCGGCCTCCCAAAGTGCTAGGATTACAGGCGTGAGCCACCGTTCTTTTCTTTTTCTTTTTCTTTCTTTCTTTCTTTTTTTTTGAGACAAAGTCTTACTCCATCGCCCAGGCTGGAGCACAGTGGCACAATCTCAGCTTACTGCAACCTCCGCCTCCCAGGTTCAGGCAATTCTCCTCCCTCAGCCTCCTGAGTAACTGGGATCACAGGCATGCACCACCACACTTGGCTAAGTTTTGTATTTCTGGTAGAGACGGGTTTTCGCCATGTTAGTCAGGCTGTTCGCAAACTCCTGAACTCAGCTTATCCCACCTTGGCCTCCCAAAGTGCTGGGAAGTTTTTTTTTGTTTTTTTTTTTCTTTTTAAAGATAAGGTCTCACTCAGTCATCCAGACTAGAGTGCAGTGACGATCAGGCTCACTGCAGCCTTAAACTCCTGGCCTCAAGTGATCCTCCCGCCTCAGCCTCCCAAGTTGCTGGGACTATAGGCAGGCACCACCACACCCGTCTAATTTTTTTATTTTTTTGTAGAGACAGGGTCTGGCTATGTTGACCAGGCTTATCTCAAAGTCCCAGCCTCAAGTGATGCTCCCGCCTCGGCCTCCCAGTGTGCTAGGATTACAGGCATGAGCCACTGTGCCTGCCCAAATTCCCTCAGCTTTTCTGCTACCGTGTCTAATCTGTGTAATCCCTTTCAGTAAAATTTTTCTTTCAGATGTGTGTATTTCATTCTCTAAAAGTTCTGTTCACTTCTTTTTTATGTCTTCTGTTCCTTTCATTATGTTCATGTTTTTCTCTAGACTCCTGAGCATTCTGAACATATTTATAATAGCTGTTTTCATGTCCTTGTCTGCTAATTCCATCATCATCTATGTTAATTCTGGGTCTGTTTCAATTGAGTGATTTTTCTCTTGGTTATAGGTTATAGGTCACATTTTCCTGCACCTTTGTTTACCTGGTCTTTTTTTTTTTTTTTTGAGACATGAGTCTTGCTTTGTGGCCCAGGCCAGAGTGCAGTGGTGATCTTGGTTCACTGCAACCTCCACCTCCTGGATTCCAGCGATTCTCATGCCTCTGCCTCCCAAGTAGCTGGGATCACAGGCGTGCGCTATCACACCCAGCTAATTTTTGTATTTTTAGTAGAGACGGGGTATTGCCATGTTGACCAGGTTGTCCTTGAACTCCTGGCCTCAAGCAATCCGCCCACCTCGGCCTCCTAAAATGCTGGGATTACAGGTGTGAGCCACCGTGCCCAACCTGGTCTTTTTTTAAAAAAATTACATAATAGGCTGGGTGCGGTGGCTCATGTCTGTAATCCCAGCACTTTGGGAGGCCGAGACGGGCGGATCACGAGGTCAGGAGATCGAGACCATCCTGACTAACACAGTGAAACCCCGTCTCTACTAAAAACACAAAAAATTAGCTGGGCGTGGTGGCGGGTGCCTGTAGTCCCAGCTACATGGGAAGCTGAGGCAGGAGAATGGCGTGAACCCAGGAGGCAGAGCTTGCAGTGAGCCGAGATCGCGCCACTGCACTCCAGCCTGGGTGACAGAGCGAGACTCCATCTCAAAACAAACAAACAAGCAAAATTACATAATAGGCCAAGCTTGGTGGCTCATGCCTGTAATCCCAGCACCTTGGGCGGCCGAGGCGGGCAGATCACCCGAGGTCAGGAGTTCAAGGCCAACCTGCCAACATGGTGAAACCCCATCTCTGCTAAAAATACAAACATTAGCCAAGTGTGCTGGCGAGTGCCTGTAATCCCAACTATTCAGGAAGCTGAAGCAGGAGAATCGCTTGAACCTGGAAGGCGGAGGTTGCAGTGAGCTGAGCTCGTGCCACTGCACTCCAGCCTGGGCGACAGAGTAAGACTCCATCTCAAAAAAGAAAAATTACATAACAGACATTGTTTACATTGCTGAATATATTTCTCTAAAGGGTATTAGAGACTTTTCCTGGAATCTAGTTAAGTTACTTGTGAATTACTTTGATCCTTCTAGGCCTGTTTTTAAACTCTTTTAGGACAACTTTAGCATTGCCTTTATTCTAGGGCTAACTTAATCCTATTTCTAGTATGTTACACTTTTGGGTCTCTACTGAATGTCTCATGTATTCAGTGAAATCTTTCTACTCTGGCTGGAGGGAACTCAAAAGGCTCTCAGCCCTGTGTGAACTCTTAAGAATTATTCTCTCCTTGAAAGTTGCTCTTGTCCAGCCCCACAGAGTTTCACCCCATGCATGCACAGATTGACATTCAGTCAAAGACTCAAGGGGACCACCAGTTTCTGAACCCTCTCTCTCTTCACAGCTCCCTCCTCTCAGGCACTCTGTCCCCCAGATTCCAGCCATCTTAGCCTGCCTGATCGCCAGTCTCCATCTCTGCAACTCAGCAGGATTGCTGGGCTGTTTGGGCTTCCCTTCCTATAAATTAAATCCAGCCAAACAGCCTGGACAATGATAAGACTCATTTTGTTTCTCTTCTCAGGAATCACAGTTCTACAATGTGTGTTGTCCTATGTCTTTATTTTTATTTTTATTTTTTTAAATTACAATAATGTTTATATATCTTTGATCATTTTTATAAAGTTCTTTGAACATGTTAGCAAACTTTATCCTATCTTTTAAATTTTCTTTAAGCATTGAAAACTTTACAAACCATCAGTTATCTTACAATGGTTGAGATTCTTTTTCCTTTTTTCCCTTAAAGAGTCTACACCAGGGTGGGTCTTTTAGACACCCCTATTTTCTAAGGGCATGTAATCGATTCTCAAATCAACTTTTTCCAAATAGAAATTCCTGTACGAACAGGGCCAGTCTACGGTAAATTAATTTAGATGATGGTGTTAGTTTTCAAAACGCTTTTAATAAGTAAATAAAGGGGCGATATAAAATGTGGCAGTTTGCTTGGTAAATCTTAATTGCGAAATTTCTTCTTCTTTCGGAACTTTTTTCCTGCTGCATTTGCTCCTTTTTCAGCCATGATCTCTAAGTACTTCCTTCGGCTGTATCTTCTGAACTCAGAATCAGCCAGCAGTTCTTCCACAATAGTTCTTTTCCTTTGCTTCTTGGGAATTCATGAATGGTAGAAATCAGCTGGATTGTCAACAATGGTTCCAATCTGGAAGTACTTGGGGAAGCCATCTCTATCATTTTTCTTGTAAAATCTTTGGGTCCATGCTGGCTCTCATCTTCAGTGCTTTGAGATCATTTTTCAGTTCATTTGTCATTTCTGGAGCTTTCATACCAAACCAGCCATCCCCTGCTGTTTTTTGTCGTTCTTCTCTGCGTTTTTTCTGAAGTTCATACTTTGATTCACTATATGGTGGAACACAGTGGTTTTTTTCAAAATCAGGTGTAATGACAGCTTTCTGCAGAAGCTCATTTTTATTTTTCTCCTTGATCTGTATTAGGGTTCTCTTGTTAGACTGTAGTTTATCTGCATTGAAATTAATATACAAACCACCCAACTGCTTGATACTCAGACCAGGGTCTATGCTGCTGCTTGTCAACTTTAGAAGTTTAGCCTTTGTGCTATTTAGTAAGTCTTCTTCATCACTATACTCATCTTCATTTTCATCATGGTCTGATGAATCTTCTTCACTTTTTTCACCCTCTTCCTCTTCTTTTTCTTCCTCAGTGGCAACCTCACTTGCTTTGTCTTCCTCTTCCAAGTAAAAATTTTTATCAGCACTCATTCCAGGAGTTGTGTCAATTACAAACAATGCATTGTCACATGACAGACTTTCTGTGTCTCCACTTAATGACTCCCTTTGGCCACTATTTTCAACAAAACATAAAGTATCCTCTTCATTCTCACTGTTTTCAGACTGTTGGCTTTCATCACTGCTGAGAACTAATAATATGTCTTTAAATAGTTTCCTGGTCGGGCATGGTCACTCACACTTGTAATCCCAGCACTTTAGGAGGCTGAGGCAGGTGGATCACCTGAGGTCAGGAGTTTGAGACCAGCCTGGCCAACATGGCGAAACCCCGTCTCTGCTAAAAATACAAAAATTAGCCGGGTGTGATGGAGGGCACCTGTAATCCCAGCTACTCAGGAGGCTGAGGCAGGAGAATGGCGTGAACCCAGGAGGCAGAGCTTGCAGTGAGCCAAGATCGCACCACTGCACTCCAGCCTGGGCGACAGAGCGAGACTCCGTCTCAAAACAAACAAACAAACAAAAAAAGTTTCGTGTATTCTATCCAGCTCTTTAGCTGTTTATGGTGGGAAGGTATTTCCAGACCATCTTACTCTTTTATATCTGGAAGTAGAAATCTCCAGATGCAATATTTACAACCAGGGAGTCTGGCTTCAGAATCCACACTCCCTGCTTCTGCACCCAGCAATCACTGAGCCTTCTGGATGCTGGGGTCACTTGGGAGGGGCACCACCAATGGGGGGCATGGCCATGGGGGCAGGGTGGCAGGGGTGGCTCCAGCCCATGGCTCACCCCTCCCACCCCTCAGGTGGGCCTTCACCTTGATCATCATCTCCTCCTACACGGCCAACCTGGCCGCCTTCCTCACCGTGCAGCGCATGGAGGTGCCTGTGGAGTCGGCCGATGACCTGGCAGATCAGACCAACATCGAGTACGGCACCATCCATGCTGGCTCCACCATGACCTTCTTCCAGGTGGGGCTACCAGAACCTCTTGGGCATGGTATTGGGATCCCTGCCATGCAAAGCAGCTCAGGATAAGTCTGGGCAGGGTCTCCTGGGTCAGAGGGACTGACTGTCAGTAGCAGCTTTGGAGGCTGGGGAGCAGAAAACGTTCTGTCATGGGGATCACAGCTGGCTGGCTAGGGAACTGGGGAATGAGGGCAGGGAGGCATATGTGGTATCAAATGTCAATGTCATATGGGCCAAATGGGATCAAGGAGGCTGCTGGAAGTGTCGGGACCAGGAATATGGGCTGACAGAGAGAAGGGAAGGCCCTTCAAGGTGAAAAGTGCTTGATCCTTTTTATTTTGGGGTGGTGGGAAAGAAAGAAAAGGAAAGCAAGCTTGGCAGGGAGGTCCTAGTGGTCTAAAGGAGGCCTGAGTTGGGCAGGGGTCACTGGCTGGAGGATTAAGGGGGAGGAGGTGGAGGTGCACTCACCGGGCCCCCAGATGGGTGGTGGGCACAGTGGCTGTGGGGATGCCTTGGACCTGGCCTGGACAGTTTGTCCATCTCATCTCTCTCCTCTGCTTTGGCTCTTTCTGTCTTCCTTTGATCACCTTGAACTCTCCTGGGTTGAGGGAGACTTCCTGGAGGACGGGAAGGGCTCGCGGAAAGGAAGCGGCTGGAAAGACCCTCCCCTGTCTTCCCCTGCCCAGAATTCACGGTACCAAACGTACCAGCGCATGTGGAACTACATGCAGTCGAAGCAGCCCAGCGTGTTCGTCAAGAGCACAGAAGAGGGCATCGCCCGCGTCCTCAACTCCCGCTATGCCTTCCTGCTCGAGTCCACCATGAATGAGTACCACCGGCGCCTCAACTGCAACCTCACCCAGATTGGGGGACTCCTCGACACCAAGGGCTACGGCATCGGCATGCCGCTGGGTACGGCACAGCGTGGTGTGAAACACAGCGGGGCCATGGGCATCCGAAACCACCTGTGAGCAGGCCCAGGACCGGGCCAGGCACCCCCGAGGCAGGCTGGGTGTGTTGCATGTGGCCTCCTGGCTGTATGGTCTTGGACAGGTGACACCACCATTCTGAGCCTTTGTGCCCCCAACCTACAAAACCAGGCCTAGCAGCAATCCAGCCCTCGCAGAGCTATTGGGAGAATTCAGTGAGACTGTGTGTACAATTCAGTATATGTGGGTGGTGGGGCTTGCTGTCTTCCCTCAAGGGCCCCTTGAGGGGGTGAGGACCTGGTCTTATTTGTTTCCTATTTCCTGCATAAAACCTATAGCCTGGCTCAGAGCAGGTGCTTGAAAAATGCTTGTAAGATGGATGGGAAGGATGGAGGGATCTGGTAGGGAGACTTGTATTGCCTATTTACATTTCAGGACACTTTTTTTTTTGTTTCTTTTTGGAGACGGAGTCTTGCTCTGTCACCCAGGCTGGAGTGCAGTGGCACGATCTCGGCTCACTACAAGCTCTGCTTCCTGGGTTCACACCATTCTCCTGCCTCAGCCTCCCGAGTAGCTGGGATTACAGGCCCCCGCCACCACGCCCAGCTAATTTTTGTATTTTTAGTAGAGACGGGGTTTCACTATGTTGGCTAGGCTGGTCTCAAACTCCTGACCTCAGGTAATCCGCCCACCTCGGCCTCTCAAAGTGTTGGGATTACAGACATGAGCCACGTCGCGTGGCCCAGGACATGTTTTTCCAGGACTCAGTGCTGGAAATCACGACCAAATTGTCATCAAATTTTGGCATTTTGACTTTTAAAATCATCCACGTACTGATGACACCTGTATTAGTTATCTATTACTGCATAGCAAATTGCTCCAGATCTTAGCAGTTTTGTAGGTGAGTCGGTGCCAGGGAAGCAGTGTAGGTTAGTGCTTGGAGGACAGGCCCAGGAGTGACACCGACCTGGATTCAAATCCCAGTTCCGTCTGGTCACTGTGATTTATGCCTATAATTCCAGTGCTTTGGGAGGCCAAGCCAGAAGGATCACTTGAGCCTAAGAGTTTGAGACCAGCATGGGCAACATAGCAAGACCCTGTCTCTACAAAAAATTAAAAAATTAGCCAGGTGTGGTATGCACCTGTAGTCTCAGCTACAGGCTGAGGTAGGAGGATCACTTGAGCCCAGGAAGTGGAGGTGGCAGTGAACAATGATCATGCCACTGTATGCAAGCCTGGGTAACCAAGTGAGACTCTGTCTCAAAAAAAAAAAAAAAAGAAATCCCAGTTTCCTCCCTGACCCAGCGCACAGCCTTAAGCAAGTGTATCGCTTTCCTCATTCAGAAACACTTGCCTCAGGTGGGAATACCTGCCCCACAGGATCATCATAAGACCTGAGTAAACCCAGGGTCTGGCACACAGTTGGTGCCTGGTAGATATTAATCACCTTCACCTGCCCATGTCTCTGATTCTGTGGTAGATGGTCAGGAAGTATCTTAGTCAATGAAGAAATAAGTATAGAATAGGGTGTGTGAGGTGTTGAAACCCAAGGATAGCTTAAGGGCAGGACTTGAGGGTGGGGAGGAGAGGTGGTCCAGGGAGAGGTGTGGATGGGGATTCGTCTGGTGTCCTACTGCATACCAAGTCCCGCAATGGATGCTGTGATACCCTGACGGGGCTGCAGGTGACAGATGATAAACACATAGCCATATAATACAGTGTTAGGTGGTAACAGCTGCTCCAAAGTAAATTAAGGGGAAGACACTGACAGGGAGTGGGGCACTTGGTGCCATTTTAAATAAAGTCGTCAGAATAGACTCCCTGGGGAGCCAGCATGTGGGCAGAGACCTGGATGAAGTGCGGAGAGGAACATTCCAGGCAGAGGCAGAGGTCCTAAGACAGGACTGTGTGTGATGGATTTGGGGAGCATCCAGGAGGCTGGTGGGGCTGGAGCTGAGAGCCGTGGGGATGAGGGTGTCTGAGAGTGGCTGAGGGGAGGAGCTTGCAACAGGAAGCCACGGAGAGTCCTGAGCACAGGAAAGGCGTGGTCTGTGACTCTTCCTAACACTGTCTCTCTGGCTGCTGTGTTGAGAGGAGACTGGGCGGGGTGGGGGTGGGTGAGGGGAGGCCACAGGGAAGACCCCGGGCACGTGGTGGAAGCGGGGGAAGGCTGTGGTGAGGGCACAGTTTGGGATTTGGGGCGGGCAGGGCTGCGGGGCTCCGATGGCTGGTCCAGCCCCTCATGTGCCCGCCCAGGCTCCCCGTTCCGGGATGAGATCACACTGGCCATCCTGCAGCTTCAGGAGAACAACCGGCTGGAGATCCTGAAGCGCAAATGGTGGGAGGGGGGCCGGTGCCCCAAGGAGGAGGACCATCGAGCTAAAGGTCAGCTTCTGCGTGTGGTGTCCCCTTCCCACAGTGCCCTCCCAGCCCCCTTCCCACACGGCCCCAACTCCATGACTCCCTAACTCCCTTTGCCCCCTAGGTTTGGGCATGGAGAACATTGGTGGCATTTTTGTCGTACTCATCTGTGGCCTCATCATTGCTGTCTTCGTGGCGGTCATGGAATTCATATGGTCCACACGGAGGTCAGCAGAGTCCGAGGAGGTGAGGAGGCTGGGGGCGGGGATGGGCAGGAACAGGGACCCCCAGGGGCTGAGGTGCGTGAAGATCGTGGCATTGGGAGCCATACGTGGAGGGTGGTGGGGATCGTGAGAAGGGCGGAGGAATGCAGGAGGTGGGGAAGTAAGAGAGCTGATGGGGCCAGAGAATCAGCGCGTGAGGAAGAACAGGAGGGAAAGTAGGTACAGGGAGCGATGAGGATGCAGGGAGAGGAGGTGAGGGACAGGATGTGGGGAGCCACAGAGGCAGAAAAGCAAGAAGAAATAAGAGAAGAAACAGGGCCGGGTGCAGTGACTCACGCCTGTAATCCCAGCACTTTGGGAGGCTGAGGCCGGTAGATCACCTGAGGTCAGGAGTTCAAGATCAGCCTGGCCAACATGGTGAAACCCCATCTCTACTAAAAATACAAAAATTAGCTGGGCGTGGTGGCACACACCTGTAATCCCAGCTACTCGGGAGGCTGAGGTGGGAGGATCGCTCGAACCCGGGAGGTGGAGACTGAAGTAAGCTGAGATCGTGCCACTGCACTCCAGCCTGGGTGACAGAGGGAAACTCCGTCTCAAATTAAAAAAAAAAAAAAAAAAAAGAGGAGAAACAGGTGAGGAAACAGTAGACCTTGGAACCTGAAGGGGACATAGCCCTGGTCTGGTCCTACACCGTGTTCAGGAGGGCTGCTTCCGTGTCCCTGGGGGCCGCCCAGCCACACCCCTGCATTTTCAGACCCATTCGTGCTCTTGCACCCCTGGACTGCTGGTTCCCCACTTCCCCTCTCTCTGTCAGCCTCCAGCCCTTCATCCCCTCCTCACATCCAGCGGCTGACCTTACATCTACTCCCCAGACCCTGGCTCTGCATCCAGCTGCCTGCCAGTGTTCTGCACTTGGCTCGAGGACTCCTCTGAAGGAGCTGTCCATGCTGCTAGTAAAGGTGCCCTCCACCTGTGTCCAGGTTGCCTTCCCAAGGACATCCCTCCAGCAAGTCTCTCCTTTCCTCCTGCAGCATCAGTTATCCTCTCTTTATTGGATTCAGGCCACCGACATACAAATGGAGAAATGTCATTTCTCCAGCCTTAAAGAAACCCTCTCCCGACCTCACTTTCCCTCCCAGCCACCACCCACTTTCTCCCCTTCTCTTTACAGCCTTGGCAGCAGTGGGGGGTCTCCCTGATGTTTCCAGTTTCTTCTTTCCTCCCATTTCCTCTTGCCCCCACTCCAGTCTGGCATCTGTCCCTGTCACTCCACTGAAGGCACTTTTGTCACCAACAACTTCCACGTCTGAAATTCCCAGTCTCAGGCCTCATCTATATGAGGTAGCAATGGGCTTCGGCACAGCCAGTCACTCTCAGTCCTCAAAGCCCCTTCTTCCCCTTCTCCCACCTCTCTGGTCACTCCTTCCCAGACTCCCTCGTTGGGTTTCTCTTTCTCCCCAGCCTCTGTTGTGGGGCTCCAGGGCTCAGTCCTTATACTGCTGCTCTTCTCGGTCTTTCTCTACTCCTTCGGTGATCCCACCAGCCAAATGGCTCTTAAGACCCGCTATGTGCTGGTGACTCTTGTGTTAGTTATTTATTGCTATCATAAAAATGACCTTAACAGCTTTAAAAAGCCAGCTTCCATTGGTTCACAGTTTCTGTGGGTCCAGAGCCTGGGAGCAGCTTAGTTGAATGTTTCTGGCTGCCGTGGGTCTCTGGTGAGATCATTGTCATGTTTTTTGACCAGACTGCTGTGGTCTGAAGGCTCAACAAGGGGTGGAGGGTTCCCTTCTAAGATGGCTCACTGTCCCAAATGTCCCCATGGGATTTTAGTTTCTGGAAGTAGCCAAGTGACAACATGGAGAGACCAATTTCATCGAAAGATGATTTTTGCCCAGGTATGGTGGCTCATGCCTGTAATCTAAGCACTTTGGGAGGGCATATCGCCTCAGGCCAGGAGTTCAAGACCAGCATGGCCAACATGGTGAAACCTTGTCTCTACTAAAAATACAAAAATTAGCCAGGCATGGTGGTGCACACCTATAGTCCCAACTACTCAGGAGGCTGAGACAGGAGAATTACTTAAATCTGGGAGGCGGAGGTTGCAGTGAGTCGAGATCGCATCACTGCCTCCAGCCTGGGCAACAGAGTGAGACTGTCTCAAAAAGAAAAAGAAAGAAAAATGATTTTTATTCCTTAACATTTCCCAGGAGAAGGGGGCACAAGGGAAACACTAGAAGCAGGAGCCAGCAGCCCCACACCCTTTATTGGGGTTTCCTCGGGAAAGCCAAGGCAGGGCAGGGGAAACAGCTTACAACTGACCAGTTTGAATAATGTCAGTGGACTCTGGGCTATAGGGGCTGGCCCTAGTTATCTGGTACCTGGCCCCTGGGTTGATTTAGGGCAGGAAGAATATTGGCTTGGTATGTGAGAGTTAGGTAAAAGGGGAGGTTAGGGGTAGAGACTCAGGATTGGTTGGTTTGCACATGAAAGGCAGCTGAGCCCTCTGCTATCTCTAAGGCTTGGCTAGTTCTGGGAGGGGTAGTCTCTCCCCAGCCTGCAAGATGTTTAAAGTGTCAAAACATCCTAAGACACAGAAAATAAAAAACACGATGAATACACTCACATGGCAGTTGGCAGGAGGCCTCGGTTCCTCAAACAAGGGCCTCTCCAAGGACTATTTGAGTGTCCTCATACCATGGCAGCTGAGATCCCCCAGGGCAAGTAATCAGAGAGAGCAAGGTGGAACAGAATGTGCAATTGCCAAGCCTAATTCTGTTGGTCACACAGACCAGCTCTGATACGCTGTCAGAGGGGATTACACAGGGGTATGGATGCAGGAGGTGGGATCTTGAGGGCTGCCTGCCTTAACCCACAAATATGTGTCTCCCCTGAAGCCAAGGTCTGCAACTTCAGCTCCACACTTGGCATCTCCACTTGGATGTCTGATAGGTGTGCACGTGATGCGATGTGTCCAATATTGGGCTTCTGCCCACCCGTGAGGCAACTTGGTCCTTCCAGTTGCTCAGGCCAAAATATTGGACTTTTGTTTCACTATTCCCTCTCTTCCATGCCCCGTATCTGATCTCTTAGCAGATCCTATTGGCTTCACCTTCAGAATATGTCCAGAATCCAGCCCCTTCTCAGGTCACTCTGGTCCAGCCACCCCCATCTCCTGCCCGAGTTATTGTCATAGCTTCCTCCATGGACTCCCTGCTCTTACCCTTGGCCTCCCTACAATCTGTTCTCAATACAGCTCCAGAGTGATCCTGTGAAAACACAGCAGTCCTGTATCTAAAGTTCTCCAATGGCTCCCATCTGACTCTTCCATTCTGATTGTCAGAATGAAAGCCAAAAATCCTTCCAATGGTTTATGGGCCTTAGCAGAGCCAGCCGCCTTTGACCTCATTTCCCTGTCTTCCCTGTGCACGCCCCCCTCCAGCCAGGCTGACCTGCTTGCAGTGCCTCAGACGTGCCAAGTCGCACCCACCTGGGCACTCCAGCCCTGCCTGGTTATCTGTCCAGCATGCTGGCGTCCCAGGTCTCCACGTGGCTCACCCTGTCTTTATTTAAGGATCCTTCTCTCAGTGAGGTCTTCCTTGACTGCCCTGTCTCAGAATTCATCACCACTCCCTACCCATACACCTTAGGCCTCTTCCCGATTTTCTTTCCAAAGCACTCATTGCGCCTAACATACTACATGAATGTTTGTTATCTTCTGTCTGCACACTTGAGTATAACCTCCACGAAGGCTGGGACTTCTGTCTGTTTCGTTCTCTGCCATATATCCCCAGTGCCCAGAACAGTGCCAGGCACACAGCAGGCCACGGGTAAATATGCCTTGCAATAATGAACGCATGGATGGGGGCAGAGGATGGGAAATCAGGAGGGAAGAACTGGAGAAAATTTAGAGTGAAAAGACCAGAGGAAAGAGAGGAGCGTAGGTGGAAGGTGAAGGGCAGATTCAGGAACAAACGCAGAGAAGAATGGAGACATTGGAGATAAGTGGGGAGACAGGAAGGGAGAGGTGGAGAGGGGAGGCAGAAAACACGGGGGGGATAAAGGGAAGAGAAGTGGGAAGGGAAGCGAGGGCAGAAGGAAGAAAGACCCGGCCGAGGAAAGGAGGAGGAGGAGTCGGGTGTGGAGAGGAGCTGGGGGAGGCGGGAGGCGGACTGCGCCGGGACGGTGACCGCCCGCGCCGCCCCCAGGTGTCGGTGTGCCAGGAGATGCTGCAGGAGCTGCGCCAC